AGGCGAAATACCCAAAAACAAGTTTGTAAAAAACCATTTACCTTCATAGCACCAAAACAGAAACAGTTTCGAACAATGAAACTCCAGACTCGAATAATCCCTCCGGCGAACCGTCCAATGAAAAAGCGCAATCGATTCTGTTCCAAAAAAGCAATTCGCTGCAGTCCTCCTCCATTACTACAATCGAGCAAAGTCCTTTGGACCCATTGAAAGATGCTGAGAACATCATCACCAGTGCCTCCAACAGCTTCAGTACTGAGGGCCTGAACGAGCCCAGAAGTATCTCCAAGGACAGTGAATCGCACAAAGGCCTCGATGTGAGCGTGAACAGCGTTTACAACAGTGAACCCACAAAGTCTGGAAGAGTCACTTTAGTGGAAAAGTTCTCCGATGAAAAGGCAGTCGATGAACCACCGTTCATTCAGACCTACGTAAAACCTTTGGAACAAGAGGCAAACTCTGAAAAGGGCGATCTGCAAAAGGCAACCGAAAAGCCCATGGAGGCATCGACTGAAGAAAATGAGGCCAAAGTGGAACAAGTAGGTAGTTTCAGAGTCTTTTTTGTTACAAATGGGGTGTTTTGCCATCCGTAATTGTCGATTAGGCGGGGTTTTTAGACGCTATTGCTCATTGAGGTGTTGCTTCAGGTGCAGTTTTTCTCAGCTCCGCTAGTGGCTGCGTTCACAGTGCACCAGGACGAAACGGGGCACCCGAACAAAGTGGAACCCATTTACAAAAATGATAATAACATCCAGCCGCTTATGGAGCCAGTAAATTCAGTAGAGGTAACTAAAGCTAACTAATCTACCCAATAAAGTCTGTGGATTGTTCAAAATGTGGTAGATACTTAATAGCATTTTTTCCAGCTTAGCCCAGTGTTAAGTCGCAACAGCTTCAACAGCCTGAGCTTGCAACAGAAGCAGCAGCTGCTGGAGCAGGAGCTGCAGCAGCTGCGGGTGCAGCAACAACAGCTCTTCGCCAGAAATAATTTTGCAGCTGGTAGTCAGGTGCTGAGTCAGACTGGCTTCAACCAGGCAATTAACCAAAACTTCAACCAGTTAGATCCGGTCTTCACCGAGCCAGATCGGTCGATCGTTACAAAGTTGGCTTCTATCGATCCCAATAATTTGCTGGCAGAAACAGCCGATCCCTTCTTAAGCAGATTTATGCCCAATGAGGCGATCGTCCCGGTGGTGAGCGCAGCCCAATCATTGGTCAATTCTAATGACCCAGTCGATGTGTCGTTCACATCCAGTATCAGCTTCGATCCGTTGGCTGAAGCAGGCAAACTTCCAGAAAATGCCCAAATTTTGCCCGTCAAAGAGCCCACGGGGTTTCACAAACTCCAAAGCTTTATCCAGCCTAGCCAACCACTGAGTGGTAAAGAAGCGTCCTTAGGAGGCGGCAACTTTGCAACCAGCGCCTATTTGAGGCAGGAAGCCGAAGCTGAAAACCAGAACCGTATCTTGAGACAAGAACTGGGAACTGCTAATTTGGGGTTCAACCAGAATAGTTTTTCAATTGTGCCGGCTCAGCAACCGGTTCCTCCTAAACACGAATTGGGATATTTTCCCGAAAATAGCCAGTTTCCGGGGCAAAATGAGCTCAGGTCACAAAGTCTTCTAAACCAGCAGAACACGAGGTTGCTGACGAGCAACGCACAAGAAAATCGTGGCGGATTTTCGAATGTGCCGACCAATAACCGATTTTTCCAGTCCAGTCAAAGTTTGGGCGTTCAACAGAGCGTTCAGCCCTTCGGAAGCCAACCTTTGAGCAGCAACTCCCCAATTTCAGCGGGCAACAGTCAAAGATTTTCGAACACCAATCAGAACCCTGTTCGGCCCTTCAACCAGCCTCACCGGTTTACCCAAAACAATAGGATATTGAGGTCCAATGTGGACAGCACCTTTTTGGGCCGCCCTGTCTTCTTTCAGACGCCCGTGTTGCAGAGCTACAAGTACAGCAGACCGTTCGGGTTTTCCGCGCTTCGTTTACATTGAGCGGACTTTTCTTAGAGCGATTTGAACTTTTTTGCTGTTGAAATACAAAGTTTGTTTGGCCATAATTGACTCGGTTACGAATTGAAACCATAAAAAGAGGACTTTGGTTTACTGTTTACAGCAATACGTTTTTAGTCATATTATTTATATTTTGCTAGAATAAGTCAATTTTGTATAGCTGTAAGATTATTTATACTCGTCATATACAGGGTGATTCCAAATTGGCGTCATTCCTTTTAAGGGATAATAGAGGCTCACTTGGAGAGTACGATAAAAATACTGAAAAACTTATTTTTCGAAAATTTCTAGAAGCTCTTTGGCAATGGTGTTTTTGTCTTGTAGATAGCCTTCCTTTCACAAAATGTACACCAATATCGAATATGCGATCAGGGGCGGATCCAGCTTTAAAGTCAGG